TAAGACACTTTGGCCAAAATCCTGCAAAGCCCATGTGCCAGCTGGCTTCCAGCAGTAACCTCGTGGCCATTACAAAGGCAATTTATGCAGTCCAGCTCTCCACAAGCTGTGCTTAAAAGATTGATGCCCTCACGTACTACAAAGGCCACAGGCATAGAAATAAACGATTACGAGGGTAACAGGATATCAGGCACCAGCTGAGATGAAGTTACTGGTGATGGTTGGGGATTAATAGCTGAGCTTTGGTCTTTCAGCAATAACCCAAGGAGTTACCACCCCATATTTGTGGTTACCGTGCTCGCCCTGAAGTCAAAGGGGAGAACACAGTCAGTGCCCCAAGGGCTCCGGTGTGAAGGTCATTAGTTTGGCTTACACTTAGCAGCTGAGGTGCAGGCACACGCTCTGTTCAGCTGGTTTTGCTGTGGAAAGAGGCAGCATCCAAGCAGCACCACAACCAAGAAGTGAGCTGAGGTGATGATCTAGCAGGCTAAGCTGATTCGAATTACTCGCATGGGCTCAGAGCATGCACAGAGCTCCCAGGCCCCCGCTGACACATGGCAATTTATGGACGTTTTGCATTTCAGATATCCATGTGCATTTTATTAGTGGAAGTATTCATTTGCATAATACTTAGTGGAGCGAAGTAAGTTTCTGAGGGCCTCTAGACAGCAGAATGAAACAAACTGCCTGGATTTTGGAAAAGAAACCACGGTCAGTTGAGGCACTACTGTTACTGTTCCAGCTCTCGCAATGGTTTGTTAGTTTTTGCCTCAAAATAACTGTTTTCCATTACGAATGCCATCAAGCAGTATAACAACCTACCATAACATGAAGGACCTGTGTACATGGCAGGGCACAGAGAAGCTTGAGTGTTTTTTTCCTGCCTTCAAACAGCTGAACTTTAGACAGTCCCAGTCTGAAAGTACTGCAACCGCAGTGGTATCTGCCCAGGCTATGTGCCTGGGGACACAGAAGCCTGATTTTTCAGGATGCCGAATGGGGATGACCTCTCTTTATATGGGACAAGTAGGCAGCAGGGAGGACCTTGCACTACACCACTCAAAGCTGGAGCAATTTTGTGGAAATAAAATACTGCTTATAAATGAAAATGATTAAAAAAAATAAAACAAAAGCAAAAATCCCCAAAACATTTTAAAGCTCAGGCGAAATAGACAATACAGGTAGACAATACAGACCACATTGTCTACTGAAGAGTGATTCCTAGACCCACTTAAACTCTGGAAGTGAGCTACAGAGGTTGCTTCTCTCACGTGCATCTCAACATGCATATGAATGCTTCCACAGCCTTTAAACATAAGGTGCCAGGACTACTACTTCATGAGTTTTAAGTCTGTTGCTAGCATTTTTCCTGTCAAATCTAGCAAAGCAGGAAGGAAGCACGCAGAAACACTTGGCAGCAAGATACAAGCTTTTGGTTCACAGATGGATACCCTCCTTCTGCCTTCTGATAAAATTGCCCATGGAAGCCATGTGCTTGAGCTGGGCTTCTTGAAGAAAATCTGACTGCATCACTACCTAGTATAGCACTGACCAATTAGGCAGATGAGTTCCTTATGTAGTTTATTCTCTGAAGACATATTGGAAATGTAAACTGTCATTTTGTCTTTACTTTCATTGAATGTTCCTCAAAGAGCGATGAAAGCACAAGTTGACATCAGATCGTAATTGTTTCATCACTCAAATCATTAGAAATGGAAGAGTGGATTCTTGCAAAAATGGGAACAGCTCATCAATCCAGAGATACAGGGTGGCGGGGTCACAAACTCAGAGAAGCCTCTCATCTAGGAAGACCCAAGGCTCGTCCCCAAAAGCATACCAGGTCAGCTTTGAAATCTTCTGTTCAGTGTAACCAGCAAGGCAGGGCCCGCATCTCCCCTTGGAGGAAACAAAGGGCAGCTGAGGTGGAGGACATCGTTCCTACAGCTCTTAGTTCTACCCTGCCAACAGCAAACAGGCAGCTCTTGCCATTCTCAGGGAAAACAGAGCCAGATAGAACCGATTAGGACCTTGACAATAAAAGCTACCCTGATGTGTACTTTACAGCAGAAAAATCCCAGATCTTCAGCACAGCAATTTGAGCTATTCCATGAGGGGCCTCCAGCCTTGACCTTGTGGAGATTTCTTCAGCATTTCTTCTCCTTAGCTGAAGCTTCCTTAGCGAAGCATAGAACATGGGCAAGCTCAAGGGAAAATAAAAGCTGCCAGAAGAAAAGGAGATTTTCTGCAGCAGCTCTTCCAACTCCCAGTAAAGAACCACAAGAGGATTTTAAGAGGTTTTACAGGAAGCTGCTGTCTGCAGAGACCCCCACGGCATCAAAGCAGTTGTGATACTATAGCATGAGGGTTTCAGAAAGGAACAGCTAGCGCAGAGATGCAACTTCCCTGTGTGTTTGGCTCTAGATACAGGCTGTGATGCCAACATGGAGAAAACTTGTCCTGCTGGTAGAATAAAGAGTGATTAAAACAGGAAGAATCACAAAGTCTGTCTGCTCTTTCAGATGATCTTGCAAATTGGTGTGTTAAATCTGGGCAGTAGGGATGGCTTCCTCATGGTGAATGTCACCAGAAGACAATCTTCCAGTACTTTTTGTTTTGCAACCTCTTAAAATGTAGCATATAAATAGATGTATAGATATTAACTCGAGGAAAATGCCGAGTTCTTAGAGCTGAAAAGGCAAATAAATTATGCAGTCTGTCTCAACTATGCTATCTGAAGAAATACTTCTGGCAATGTATTACCCTACTTCATGAATCAATCCAAATTATTGGAAGTTTTCATACATCATAACCCACTAAGGTTTATTTTCAAGCATATTCAAGGCCTTGCAAATCAAAGGAAAGACTACACTGATCACAGAGCTTCAGAGTAGACCTTGAATGAACATCTACATCATGATTTCCCTCTCCCTAACCATTGGAACAGTCAGCAGTAACAAAACTCTGCCTTTCCACTTTGGATACAGAGAGCTTCCAAGGCATTTTGCAAAGCCTGTAAGTTTAGTTAGTATCAGAAAAACTGGTCATTTTTAAGAGGAATAAATATTTATTGCAGTTGGAAGCTCAGACTACTCAGAAATACACAGGAACTGAAAAACCCCACATGGCCTTCCTGGGTCTATCATCCAGTGCTTCAAAGTTAATAACAGATATTGCAGAGGTTGTTGAACTTTTTTTTTTTGGCCCTTATTTCTATAGCAGCATGCTGTAACTGTGAAGAAAGCTTCAGTAAAAAGCAAACCCCCAACATCTCTCATTCCAGAAACAAATGACTTCTCTTCTAGAATCCTGCCGATGTAGAAAGCTAGCAAAAATTCATTCCATATGCTGCTAGCTGCATATTTCTGGCTGCCAAAAAAAAGCAAGTGGCTTCCAAGAAGGTACCACAGGACTGGGCACATGTTGCTGTAAGGGTACAAGAGATGACTAATGCAATCTCAGGGCCTGTCAGGCAAGGAAGGAACACACTTTTCTGAATGATCACGATAAGACTGCCTCTCATGAAAGGGATCAGACCACACAAGATGATAGCTCATGACTGAAGGAGCACTGCTGGATGGAGGGCTGATACTGTTTGACTGGTCAAGGTGTCCATTGTCACTGACAGTACTAGTTTACTAACAGGAAAGTTTATTTAACTTCTGAGCAAGTGCACACCTACCTAGATCTGACCTGCAAGATAAGGGTTGTGCAATTGGAACAATCTAAACACTCAGTTCCACCTGTGTGGGCCACTAGGAAGGTGTTAATGACCTTAACCACCACCCTTCCAGCTTGAGAACTTGCAGGAGCAGGCAAAGGACTCCAGTGTCTTGGTATCACTCAAACAACAGTGCCAACGCTTGTACTATTAGATGCTTGCAAGCTCATTTCCCCCACGTTCTCCTAATGATACGTTTTTATCCTCTGTTCCCCATCCCCTTTTACTCTCATTTTCAGCCCAGTTCCTTCTAAAAAAAGGCCCACAAGCAATGCACCAGTGTTACATGACACTGCATGACCCGTTCTTGCTTAGTCTACTGAAACTATAATAGTTATTGCATCAGGTAATCTCCAAACAGTTTTGCATGGAGTAAGTCTCATTTAGGATTACTGCTAGAGCTGGGTTTACCAGATCTTCTAGGTTTTCAGTCTTAATCAGAATCTTAAGATACTCTATTTGAACTAGATCTTTGTGCAGCTTCCTGAACTGTATCTCAGGACTCTCAAGTTTAAGTCACCAAAATATTCTCTTCTCTATTATTCACCTTGAGAAAGCAACAATCTCCATTCTTCAAAAACACGGAGAAAATAAGCAACCTGACACACTGCAACTATCCTTATAGATGAAAAACTAGGTATAAGTAAAAGATGGGGAAATGCAGTGGCATATAAACATACTTACATGAACTCTCCACAAGCTCTCTCCTGGTTCCTTCCCTCTCTTGATCCCAGAGATGATTCTCCATGATTTTCAACGTCTATTAAGCACACATGTATTATGCAGTACCTCTTATTTTGTTATCATCCCTTCTGGCTGAATTCAACAGTTTGACCTAGCATATCTCAATGTATTCATACATGTTAACATATTAAATACCTACTTTTCTCACCTGAAAAAGAACATACTAGCCTTCAAATTCACTTCAGAGAAGTTATTGGTAATCTGAACACTTTTTAATTGAAAAATTTATCGTTTGAGACTGAATTAGAATAAAATTAAGTATTAAGACAGATTTCAATGTAAACAAAAAACATTTTTAAATGCAGAATCTAAGGATTTTTAGAAATCTAATTGTGTTTTTTCAGATGCTATTAGCAATGCCCTGCGATGGTAATTAACCCCAACCTAGGGAAGCTCCCCTTATTTAACAAGCTGTTGGTAATTCAGTTTAACATAGGTTCTCTCAATAGGACTGAGCTACTGTCCAAGAAACAAATTACAGATGCCTTGCAGAAGTGATATACATAGAGATAAGCACTTTGCTATTTATTTTGTGCAGGTTGTTACCAAGCAGCCCCTGGAAGGAACCACAGAAGATTCAGCTGCCTTACTCCTGCAGAGCCAAGCCTTTGGAAACCAGTGACTCTATTTGAGACTAAATACCGAGTTTGCATTACCTCAATGGATTGATCAGCTGTGCTTCTGCATCATCATCAATCTACTAAGCTATACTCTCCCTCAAATAGTTTCACTTACCTTATTAGCAGGCTTCACTTACTCTCTCCCTTACCTATTAGCTGTCCTTGATTTACCAACCAGCTATATCTTAACAGACTGCAAGCTCACTAGACCTACTATTCCTTGGCCATTGAGGCATTCCCCTCCCTCCCCCCAAAAAAATCCAGAGCCAGGTTATCAGGGAAGTATTTCCAGGACAGCTCCCAGCCTTCTCAGAGGCCCGAAGTACACAGAATCCTGATCAGCATGCTGATGTCTTCTCAGTGCTTCCAGCAAAGATAGCACACAGTGATCCTCCTACAAAAGCAGTAGAGGCACTGTGACTCCAGAGCCATTTAGATTGCAGTGGACCTCTTCAGATCATTTAGTCCAACACCCTGCTCCAGCAAGGTCAGCTGCAGCCACTTGTCCAGCACACTCACAGTTGAAGTGTGAGACTTTACCACCTCTCTGGATAACCCACACAAGCATGGACCATCCTCACAGTAAAAAAAGGAAGTCTATTCTGTTTAGGTGGATTTTTTTTTTCTAAATTTGTGCTGACTGCCTCCTTACCCTGCCAGTAGGAACTAGTGAAAGCAATGTTGTCCCCAGCTTCACTCCCTCCAACAGGCACTTACACACATTACGATGGCTCACCAAGCCTTCCCTCCTCACCCAGCTTGCAGAGCACCAGCAGCTTTCACCCTCTTCACATTAAGGTCTCCAGCCCCATTACCTTTGGGGCCCCATACTGGCCTTACTCCATGAACTCCCTCTTTCCTGTACCAGGGAGCCATGAAACAGTGCTCCAGATGTTAGCATGTATCACACCATACATTAAGGGAGCTGTCTTCAGGCAGATCCCCCCTCCCAGTTTCAAATAAAAACAGATCCACCAGGTGCTTTACTGCAGTGCTGTACCACAGAAGTTTCCACCACTTATTTTGTCTGTACCCCAAAAGACATGCTCCCCCCTTCTGTAGAAAGTACTGAGAAGCATCACAACCCCCATCCTGCAGCTTCACTATGGTGTAAATGGAACTATAAGGCTTACAATATTGACCTACAAACCAAGCATTTCATTTAGATATCAGAAAGACAATGACAAAGCACTAAATACCAAGCAGCTCAGCATGTAGAGGTTGCCTTTGAGCATTCCTCACCTATTCATCATATGAAAGGGAGTCACCTTGGCCAAGGCAATCTCCCAAAAATAAGACTCCCTGTTTTTACTCTAATAATGCATGCTGAGTTGCAATAGAAGACTGTGGTTCAAAATAGTTCTGAGACTGCTGAAGTCAAGACACTGGACCAGCAAATGCAACATCTTGTTGGACCCTTCTTTGTACTCCTTACTTCTGGAAGAGGGGCTTCCAATAGTCCTGCAATACAGAGTCCCAGCTGGTAGTCCTGGTACCCTGTCAAACAAACTCCTTGCCAGTTACAAGGCAGTGTCCAGGCTGCTAGGCCACAGGGCAGATGCTGGTTAGGTGTTTTTTCAAATCACTCTTTTTGTAGAAGGCAAACCCAAACTGCCATGATATTCAAACTCTGTGAACTTTGTGAATCCAGTTGTCAATGCACAAGCAACAATTCTAAGGAATTGTGATGCTGGCAGAACATTTTGACATAACTCATTGGAAACCCAGAGGTGCTTATAGTCCTTTGGAAACAGGGCTTCTGGAAACCAGTAATCATGAACATTCAATTGAGTATTGCTACAACCAGGTTCATCTGCTGTCCTAAATCTGCATTTTCACCAAGTATAAATACCTCAAACATGATTAAAAGTTTTAAACATTAGGTAACTGCTTTGCTGGGACCAGTGAGAGTAACCAGATGCAGGGGCCAAGGCTTTGTTTAAAGACAGCCAGAATCCCCAGCTGAGATAATCACATAGCACATATAGAGCAATTTTTCATTCAGAGTACAGAGGCAAAATAGCACACAGCCTCTGGCATGCTTTCGAGGTCTTGGATTTGCCCTTAGTTAAAAAACACATTTGTTTTCTGTGTTAAAACTTTATTTTTAAGCTGTCAGAAAACTAGGGCTACAAGCACAATCATGCTCATTAGCAGGTCAGTAAGAGAAGATTTCCTCACAAGCTTTGAGCTGACTGCATCCTGAAAGGCAGACTTGGACACAGCAGTTTCAGAAAGTCCAGGTGTGAGACTAAGTTACCCCAAGGTAGCAGCTGATAGGGAATAAACTCCAAAATAATTAAAAGAAAGCAAACAGGTTTAGTTGTCTGAACAAGGAATTTTAATTTTAGGTCAACTATTGAACTAGGTCAACATCCAGTTCACAATGTCTACAGATAGTGGGCATAGCCAGTCACTACGGTAAGTATATTGAAGCACCAAGCTCCACACAAGACTGTAAAATACATTTTAAACTACTAGTAAGAAAGCTTCTTCAAGTCAACAATACTAATAAAGGGCTGGAGTTTACGGTCTAAGTTTTCACCTTCCAAGCTATTTTAAGACAGCCAATCCATTGCATAAGCAAATCGAACTGCTACATACTGAAACAGAGCAGCAACTGTATTGAACAAATCCTGTAAATAATTCAAGGATACATTGAAACAGTATGGGTAAATTGTAATTTTTTATTGGAAAACAAATATACAACTTGGAATGGATTTGAGGCAAATCGTGCCAGAAGCAGATTTTTTTGAAAATAAGTGGCTAAACAAAGTTTAAAAAGCATAGTAACAAGAGGAGAAAATGTTTTCTGGTACAGGACCAGCAGTACAAAAAAATTGTGTACGAGTACCTGGATAATACACCCGTTTTGCATTAGTGCAACTTTAAAGTTTCATATTGTTGACTGTCAATCGTCCACAACGTTAAGACTCCACATTTCAACAACATGTTACTGGTATGGCCACAAACAAGTTACTATGAAGCAAGTTAGGAGAACAATTTTACAGTGCATTAGCCACATAAATGCTATTCACATGGTTTTGGCCTGCACAAGTCTTCACCCTCAGTCATCAACAGCAGAATCACCTCCTTTACTTACTGGAGAACTGGAGCCATTATCTTGCTTTAACTCAGGAATTGCTAATGCATGGTAAACCCTAACTTACTTTATGTAACTTGTTACATCAGTCATACCAAAGTCTTCTAAAGAAAGCTACTTCTTTAAACAACCCAGATGTTCCCTCATTCAACCAACTCCATCTAACCTTAGATGTGCAGAAGGGCTTAAATATCCAGAGTAAGCCACATGCAACATTTGTTACTTAGATCAATTTTCCAAAAATCAGAACAATGACAGTAAGATAAAGGAGAAAAACATGGAGGAATGGCCTTCTAATTACTATACATGCATATTCTTTTGACAGTAAGGGAAAAACCTTTTACAGATAAGTTACAAACAGAGAAAAGGCAAATAAACAATTTTGTACAAGAAATTTAACACATTCTGTACAATGTCTTCACTTCGCTGTCATCATTTGTACAAACTCTGTAAAAGGAAAGAGTTCATAAGAGTTATTCAGAGAAATCTGAATTGCAAGATCTGAAAAGTAACCTGCCTCACTAGTGCACTGATTGCTGTCTAAAAACTGTTTCCAGTCATACTCAAAAAGCATCCTGAAGACATCTCACTTTTCTACCAGTCATGCCTAAGAACCTCCTTTTAATTAAAAAATTAACAGTCAAAGGCATCTGCTTTTATAAAAAGTCAGTCTCATCACTGAACTGGCAAGGAGACTTCAAAATAAAACACTTCAGGGTCATCTCCCATCAGCCCAGACAGCCACTCTTAGATGCCTTGTCCCTAGGAGATCAGTACGTTCTGCTTAAGTCACAGTCAGCTAATTCAGGCAAGACATGACATCGGCTTGGATTTCAAGGCAGAATAGCTTAAGTCTTGCTAATTCACCTGACCAGCTTTAAGCAGCCAAACCATTACTTATTCACAGCACACAGGGAGTTACTACACAGTATAAATTCACTTTTCTTGCTGAACTGTGGATTTAGTTTGAAGACTTTGTGGTACCTGAAAAGAGAAGCTCCACCTACACCTTGGGAACAATAAAGGGATTACCTGAAAACACCTTAGTTAATGTTTCTCAAGTTGTTTGGAAAGCTAAAATGAAAGCAAGCTTAGTTCTTCTGAGCACCAAGCAAATTGTCTAACAGAACTCATTCTGCCTGCATGACTTCATTTAAGTTTCAACACCACAAAATGAAAAGGTAGTGCTGCAGCCAATTCCTGTGAACTTCATTTAAGGTTTTCTAAAGGTCTTGAAGTTCATGGGCATTATAGAGGCATTTCTCATTTAATTATTAATTTTAAAAAGCATTAATGAAAGCAAGTGACTTGCTACAGGTCAGTTAATACACTTCCCTGATTTGGTTCAGGATCAACACTCATTAATGAACAAAACATGTTAACAACTCAGCTAGCTTCCTTATTCTAATGGTTAATAACATCATTAGATTTAGAAAGTTGTTTCTTACACTGCACAGTTCAGTTACCTTAGGCACAAAAGCTAGCAATAACTCACTTAGACTTCAGTAGAGGTACACTATGTACATACTAAAAGATGTTAGCTTAGAGAGCTAACAACTGCTGAGAGGATTTCCCTTGGGAACACTGCCCTGTTTAAGCCAGGCATTAACTATCAGCAACACTACAGTCACCAGCATGTAAGATGCTACACAGTCACAATCTGTTAACAGCTCCTTACCTTCATAGTTTACTTGACCATCACCATCAATGTCTGCTTCCCTAATCATTTCATCAACTTCTTCATCTGTTAGCTTCTCTCCAAGATTTGTCATCACATGGCGAAGTTCTGCAGCACTAATGTAACCATTACCATCCTGCAAAGGAAAAAGATACAAGTCTATTCCAGTCTCCCTAAGGCCCAGTAACTGGAATAAAATATTTCAAAGCAAGTTTAAAAGTTAACAGTTTGAACCACATTTGCACAATGCA